AGTCAATTCTTAAATTTCACTTTGACTCTATCTGTCAACAAATACGACCGGATCAAATTGTTTCATTGATACTTTCCGATGCTGATGATACACCACATCAATCTGAGTTATTTCTGTCTCATTTTCAAATCGAATCACTCATTCGACTTCGATCATTAACCTTACACAAAGTTGAAACAAAATCGTTGCTGATGATTCTGAAACAAATAAATAAATTAAATCGAAATTTTCGACTTTCGTTGGAAGATTGTGACATCAAACCTTTAGCTTCCATTCAAATACCGTCTCAATTACGATATTTAAAAATTGGCGAAGACAAGTCATTAGAATTTACATATCTGTTTTCTTTGTTCAATTTCAACAGATCAGTATCCGCTCTTGATGCCTTCAATCATATTTGTACAAATATATCTCAACTTCAGAGACTCGATATTCACTGTGATAGCATGAGAAACATAAGTGCTTCACTGTTGAAATTGCCTCAACTCGCATGTCTTGTTCTTACAATCAAATGTAAGTATCATTCATTTGTCAAAGCACCAAGATATAGGAGAACAGCAGCATTTTGATAGATGTACAGACGAAAGATTTTACAATCTCTTTGTTTCAAAAGAGAACATTTTGACTATTTGGTGCTCAGTTCATTTCCGTGCAATGATATTTTTTATATGAATGTCGAGAAAAATCTGTATTGGTAGAAACTTATTCCAATAGTCGCTTTATTCTATCATCTATGATATTGTATAAAGTACGATCTGTAATGATAATCGTTTCGCTTTCAAAGCTTCTAGTTATCATGAGATTGAATAGCTTACAGTTTTGCTTGACAACTGATCATCAATGTATACGATTCCTGGACATATGATATATCATATTTCTTTCAATTTTACCATCACACTGATATTGATACACCTCCTCTGTAATGACTTTCACTTTTATTCCAATCCGATGAACCAATACAAAAAAAAAGATTAAAGTACAAATAACAATTGAGGGTGTATAGAGGACTGACGACTTGTTTTCAAGAAAAGATATCATATATATTCCTATATGACTCAAATTCTTGAGTTCAGCATCCCATTGTGATGACTCAAGAAATAACAAAACAAATAATAGAAGAATGTAGTATCATGGACGAAGACTATGACATTCTATTATTCTATCTTCTTTCGATTTCCGTGAACAAAATAGCGCACGCGCCCTCTTTGTGCCTGAAAATAAAATTGGTTTATCTGAAAATATTCAAATAAGTTGATTCTTTTCTTTAAATACAATGGCTTCGATCGAACTCGTTTCTCCTCCATTTCGAAGTAAACAAAAATTGTCTACCATTACTAGGATATGATCTAACCTCGACTGAAAGACAAGTCTACACGATGTTTATCTCGAATAATTACTCTGATTTTAGATTCTTTAAAAAGAGAAAAAGTAAATACATAACACTTGTATATTTTTAGCATATTTGGCGTCTATAAATAATATCGAATATGTGCTTCTGAACTTGCCTCATCTTAAGCATTTCGAATTACATGGTAAAAACGTTGATGCCGACTTAGCCAATGGACAACTGTGGGAAAATACCACTAGTTCACTTGTTACATTTAATTTCATTTTTCATTTGAGACTCACTGAAGTAGAACCAATTCTAGATAGTTTTAGAACTTGCTTTTGGAACGAAAAACGTTGGTTTGTAGCTTACGAGAACGGCCGTCTGTTCTCAGTACCACGCTTCGCTAATGAGCGTTGCATCGATAACTTTCAACGTCCTGTCTATTCAACAGCTTTTGATGATAAAATTTTTTCTGATAGTATCACTACGCTTGTACTGTCACAATCATTTGTTAATATACAACAACAACAACTTCCTCATGTCCGAACACTGCAAATCACTAGCGATGTTTACCCATATCCTCTTTCATGTGCTATCAATATAATGCAAGTAGAACATTTAATACTATCGTTTCCAATCCTACAACCACTATCAAACGTCGTTCATCTTCTAAACATGTATGGTCTTCGAGAATTGTCAATAATGACAAATCCATTTCAGCTTCTAAAACAACGCAAAGGAATGCAATTCAAAAATATCAGAGCATTGGCAATGCCCTCCGCATTTATATTTGATGATCAATATCCAGTTGAACAGCTATGTTTCATTTTTCCATGTGTGCAACGTTTACGCATAGATTCAATTAACAAAGCAATCATGATTCGTATGATTGATGGATTTACACATTTGTCAAATGCATCGTTCTGTCTTAAATCGTTGTCCAAACGAGATCAAAACGATTGGCAAGTGAAACCAGAATGGGCACTTTTTGAAGCACGACGACTAAAATACTCCACCTATACTTGTCGATATGAGAATTCATATCTACACGCATGGATCAGCGAACAAGTAAGTCAGCTGCAGTTGAAAACACTTTTCTTGTTCTACTAATATTGTCATTTAGTCTCTACCCTCTTCCCGAATATGGCATTGGCTACAACGAAGAGATTACTGGTATTACAGAGTTCAATCGATTAGCAGGCCGTTGGTTAATCTATTGATCGATTTTATTAATGCTCTCATTTCTACATCATTCCTTACAATATTTTACGCATTGATCGATTTTATTAATGCTTTCATTTCTATATCATTCCTTATGATGTTTTACGCATTGATGACTATTTACTTCAACTATGAACTACCATATCTCGTACAATATTTAATAGGTTGTATAATGATGGCGCATAGTTCACAGTCTAAAACTTCTAAGAAATACTTCGTAATTATTGCTTGTTTGATGACCTTATGTGCCTATGATGTTATACAGTATTTGATTAATAAGGATTATTATTGTCTAGTGTATTATCAGATAGGTCGCTCCTTTTGTGGGCACAATGAATCAGCTACAGCGAACTTAACTATGTTCTTATCCAACAATGATCTGAACTTCCATACATATATACGTTCCTATATCGAAGACACATTCATCTGTGATTCTTCATATTTTGTCTTTTCATACTTTGTAGGTATCATTGCTTTTTCTGTCAAAACTGTCTTTTTTATATTTCATCTTGTGTTCAATGACTTTCTTCAATTTTTCAATTTCAGTGTATCCATAAGTAGCCTACGTTCTATGAGACGTGGAAATTAACTGAACACAAGGTAACTGCATTTTTCTCTGCAAATATATCCGGTTATGTCGCCCTCATATCATCATTCTCTTAATAGTCCGGATAGGTGTGGGGGTGGGGGTATCCTCTCATTTGCGAACATAAAGTCGAAAACTTAAAGTTTATTAAATTAAATTATACTTTATTTTTTAATTAATTTGAATTTTTCCGATTCAAAGCGATTGAAAGTGTCAAATTTTCGATTTTGAATTCGTTAAAACTCATTACTTGAAACGAACTCCGAAAATCAAAATCATTTGCTTTTATTATTTAATATTTTTTACTGAAACGAATTTTAACAGCAATTTTGTTTGCAGAATTAAAATTTGTAGAGTTCGCTCTTGTTTTCTACTTTATTTCTATATTTTTTTTTTAGGAAGACATAGAGCTCGCTAGTGCTTTCAATACAATTTTGTATTTAGTTTAGGAAGATGTAGAGTTCGCTTGATATATGCTTAGAGTGTGCTAAACTACGTAGTGCTCTTCTTCTTCTAAACTAAGTGTCATATTTAGAGTTCATTAGACCAAATTACCAATATGAACGTCATAAGCCTGTTTTTGTATTGGAAGTCTATTTAGTTTCTATAATCACATAAGATCAACAGTCCATTGAAAAGAAACTAATTGGAACTGCAAAATATAATTATTCAACAACGAAAACTGTGGAAAAAATGTAAACAGGACAAGATTTTGGTGTTTGTATTCGAGTTCTCTTCAAACTAGTGTCCATCGAGGTCATTATTTGAATGGATATTGAATCATGTTTGTGGAACATGGGAGAAACAATTCAAAATCTCCCTTCGATCTTCATCAAAACTTTCTTTTTTTTTCGTTCCGTGCTCGAGCTATATTAGGGTTCGTTTTTCAATATGAGAATTAAGTAAATCACCTTCATAAAAGCGTTCCTAGTTAAGATTAAGATTCATCGTAGTTAAACTAAATCTATGATCTTGCTACGTTCCAGAAAAGGTTTTATAAAAAAACTCACATGATCAACCTATTTCAGTGATCTAGTTTAAAATGCAACAAGATTTCATTGGTATTTTTTAAAACAACTTATTCGACATTACATCCCACTTATAAAATCTTCTTTTTAGTGAAGCAAAAAAATTCATAATTAATCCAGAGCTGATAAAGTTTTCTGAATCAAATCACTAGAAATGTGAAACTAATTTTGTTTTGCTGCAGTGTTCTTACACTAACTTTCAAAATAAGAAGTGACACTTTCAGACCACATTCACCTAGCTTCAAACAGACTACACGCGACACTACTAAATCTTTTTTACATTCAGTTGGATTTATGCTAGACATTCTAGCGAACCCTACACCTTCCTAAACTAAATATAAAATTGTATTGAAAGCACTAGCGAACTCTACATCTTCCTAAATCTATAGATAGAAGTTGCATTGAAAACACGAGCGAACTCTAAATCTTGCTAAACTGTATGCAATTTCAAGTTGAAAGTGAAAATTTTCAAACAGAAGCATTGATCAACGACAACTTGAAAATTAAATTAATTTAAATTTTATCGTTTTAGAAAAACTAACAATTTGAGATATTAATTTTAATGTTTACTGAAATTTAAAATCTTCATAATATTTCAAAATTTTATTTGAGTTATGATCGCAAATGAGAAGAAGCCGGTGTGGGTGTTGCTGAAAAGATGACCAACACCCGCACTCACATCCGCGACGGCGACGGCTCAGTTGCACGGCTTACATCTCTAGTTATTTCGAGTATTGTCCGCCAGTTTCTGAGAAAAGCCAAAAAAGTTTACTTACTCTAATTTTCTTTTTCTTTTATTTAGTTCTCATGATACTTCTAGCAATTTTATTGGAGGAATTCAGTCGTCAAACTATTTTCTTTTCTTTGTTGTTTTAAATTATTTATTCTCATAGTTATGCGTTGCCGTCTGGACAATCCGAATCAGTTGGTCCAATTTGATTGTTTAGTCTTTCATCATTTAGTTATGTTCGTAGTGATCGTGAACTTTATCGAAAAAATGGAGGCTAGTTTACTTTGCTGTCTTCATTTAATTGCATCAATGCTTTAACTGTTTTTTTAACAGAGAAATGAAGAAAGTTAGTTTAGTTTACTTCTTTTTTATTTTACTT